AAAATTAAGGATTCAAGAAGTATTTATTCCAACAACAATATGGGGTTAAATATTATGAATGTTGCCACCAAACCGCAGCCAGCAGTTGTTCCTCTGTCACCGGAAAAGGTCGCCCCAAACGATAGCAAGCTTGCAGCGTGGAGTAGTGTGAGGCAGGAGCGATGGCAAGGAGAGCTTAGCGTTCAAGGAGAAATACCACTGTGGCTGGTATGTATGCTTTTTGAGTGTGCGTGGTGGGTGGGGTGGGTTTTAAAATATATACACACACTTTACGCACACACACTTCTTATTCAATTTGTATATAAACTATAAAATTAATCTCCCGCCGCAGTAGGCAGAATAAAAATTTTCCATTACTATCGTAACAAGAGAACCTTAATTATGATTTTCTAAATTTACAACTATTTTAGAGAACCATAACTAAGGTTCTGTGAGAAGATTTTATTATTCTTACTGGAGGTAGGAGATCAAGATTCACGTACACTAATCTTATGTAGTATTGTACTTATTGCAATTAATTCTATTGAATCCATCTAGCAGCACCGTGCTCGAAAAAAGTTTCGTCAAATTCTCTATCTTAGCTCTCCCAAAAATAAAATAAAATAAAGGCAACTCGAAAACTAGTTTGGCTTATTTTCTTAGAAAGTGTTTATCGCGATAAAGTGGATGCATAATTTAATTTATTACCACAAATGTCTTGTATTCATAGACATTTCGGGTAATGATTTTCCATTCTTCTTGTTGTATTATAATTAAAAACGCGCTAAGCTAGATCTTTCTCATGTTGGATGAAGATGAATCTTATCGTTTGATTATTTTTTATTCAAAGGCAAAGTAATTTAGCATGTTTATGTTATTGATTGATTTAGTATGTCTTATTGAATTATTAAATGCTTACGCACCATTTAGGAAATTAGTTGCTTATTATGTTTCCGATGAGATTCATGATAGGTTTAGAATTTTAAAATTTAAACATATGGGCAACAAATGTTATAAATAACATGTATGACCTATGAAAACATATAAATAATAATGAAATTTAATGCATTACTTTGCATATGAATTCGGAATCGGAATATAATCAGATCATGCTTAAAATATGTTTAACTTACCTTGGAAGAGATAGTTAAATAAAATAAGATTATCTGTTGTCAAGAATACATAAATTACACTAGATTACATTGGTCGAGAATTGAAAATAAGATAACAATAGTTTATTAGGTGAATTCGAAATTCCAACACATAATGATATGAGAGCGGTATGAAAGGTATTTTTAATGGTTTCCCAAGTTCTGTACTTATAGTACTTTGAATAAATAGGTTAAACGTAAAAATTGGTTTCCAAATGGAGTTTTAATCACAGAAAGAAAGTGGGCCATAAGCTGAATTTTACCCCATGCGATCACATGTGGCAATGTGTGCAGTCGACTGGTTCCAAAGAAGTAGGTGTTGCAATGCCAAGAGATTTACTCCTTGTGATCGAATGGTAGTAAAACCTTCTGCGATATTACATTTTGGTCCCCAACTTTCTTCTTACGTTTAATTCAAGTCATTTCTTCATGAATTCTTGGTCCTTCATCTTTCAAGTATATTTAACTGATTTTGTGTAGTCTTCAATCCTCATTCTTTGGTCCAAAACAACATTTGAATATTTTCAATTTGATCATTGAACTTTGGAAATCATCTTTTTTCGTCGATCTTCATTTCGTTCTTCCAAATTCGCTTTCAATCATCGAATTTTACCTAAAAAACAATATATACAAGAGATTAAGCTATACATCAAAGGTACACATAAACATCTATTTTTAATAACTTAGATAAGTGCATAAAATACACTTTATCAAGATGCCAGGGGCACATTGGGACCATGAAAGCAACTCAAGAGCTAAGTAAAGTAGCAAAAAATGGATATAAGATTATATTGAGATTTTAATAGGTAATTTTGAAAAAGTGATGCTCTCTCGTGACTTAACCAGTTGATAATTTCGTGCAGAGTGGAACATACCTGAGGAATGGTCCAGGTCTTTGGCACATAGGTGATTTCGGTTTCCGGCACCTGTTTGACGGCTATGCAACTCTAGTCCGGCTGCACTTCGAAAATGGCCATCTCGTGATGGGACACCGGCAAATCGAATCCGAGGCATACAAGGCAGCCAAAAAGAATAAAAAGCTTTGCTATAGAGAATTTTCTGAAGTTCCTAAACCTGACAACTTCCTATCCTACATTGGTGATCTAGCCAACTTATTCTCCGGTGCATCACTGACGGACAATGCTAACACCGGTGTCGTTACACTCGGCGACGGCCGAGTAGTTTGTCTAACAGAAACAATCAAAGGGTCAATTGTTATTGATCCAAACACTTTGGACACAATAGGAAAGTTTGAGTACAGTGACTCATTAGGCGGCCTAATACATTCTGCTCATCCAATTGTGACAGAGTCTGAGTTTTTAACGTTGTTGCCTGATTTGATCAATCCTGGGTACTTGGTTGTAAGAATGGAACCAGGCACAAATGAAAGGAAAATTATCGGTAGGGTTGGGTGTAGGGGTGGACGTGCCCCTGGTTGGGTGCATTCTTTCCCAGTTACAGAACACTACGTGGTTGTGCCAGAAATGCCTTTGAGATATTGTGCACAAAATCTGCTAAAAGCTGAGCCCACACCACTGTACAAGTTCGAGTGGCATCCGGAGTCTAAAGGATTCATGCATGTTATGTGTAAAGCTAGTGGCAAGATTGTAATTATCTCTCTCACTCTCCTCTAAATAAGATTATTTCTCCAAGGGGTTTATTTAGTAATCTAAAATCAAATTTTTTTCTTGATTTCAAAGGTGGCAAGTGTAGAAGTTCCTCTGTTTGTGACATTTCATTTCATCAATGCATACGAGGAGAAAGATGAAAATGGAAGAGTGACGGCCGTCATTGCTGATTGTTGCGAACACAATGCTGACACTACAATCCTGGAAAAACTCAGGCTACAAAATCTTCGATCATTCTCCGGTGAAGATGTCTTACCCGACGCAAGGTATAATTTTGCGTTGCTAAACCCATAATCAATCCGAGTATGTATGTTCCCTAAATTCAAGTCAGACTTATGTTTAACTATTTTTTTTTTCACACTATAATACTAAAATATTATACAACTATTGTGGAACCGTTTTATTACTCCACGCTTCACATTCTTGTTAAACATGGATTTTTGGAATTATTCCCCACTTGAACGTATCCAATTATGTTCTGTATTGAAATAGTTGTGGCTAAAGCACTAGTATATATATTTTACGTATATTTCAATTGCTACTTCTGCATGCATGTTAGTTTGAACAAATTATGTGGGCTATTTGTATTGACTTAGTGTTCCTAGGTATGGTTGATGAGTTTGATTTACTTTGAATCTATGGTTCACGACTCGTTGAAGCGTCGAGAGTTAAAATAACGGAAACCATGTGTGAAATTGTTCGAAAGACGTAAAATAACCGACAAGTACTTGGTCGTGTGTACAGGGTTGGCCGGTTCAGGATACCGTTGGATGGGAGTCCATATGGGAAGTTGGATGCAGCATTGGAACCGGAGGAACATGGAAAAGGAATGGACATGTGCAGCATCAATCCTGCTTATTTGGGAAAGAAATACAGATATGCCTATGCTTGTGGCGCTCGACGCCCTTGCAACTTCCCAAACACCCTCACCAAGGTAAACCCAAACATTGAATTCGACTGGAAGATTTGACATCTTTCTTCTTTAGTCGTGTTTTGTTTCGTGACTTGTATCTTGCTCAACTTACCAAATATGTAGATAGTGTGTATATATATTGCTTAGGCCTAAAATTGTATTCTCTTGTTTTGTTTTGCAGATTGATCTACTGGAGAAAAAGGCAAAGAACTGGTGCGATAAGGGCTCTGTACCCTCCGAACCATTTTTTGTAGCTCGTCCTGGTGCAACGGAGGAAGATGACGGTAATCCAAACAGCAAAACTCTTTCAATTTTTCAATACTGTATTCTGAACATGTCTTTTTATATGTCTTCACATATTCCATCCGTCAGTCCATTCCAGTCTAAAAGTATATATGAAAGATGGTGCCAAAACACTTCTTACAGTTACATATTTAATAAGCACGCCTAGACACAAAAAAAAAAAGACGAAGACAATTATTTATCTTAGTTAATCCTGTCTAATCCCATTCAGCAATGAAAACTATGTATTGCAGTAGTCCATTTTCTACAAACCCCTCACCGATTGCAATTTCCTTATGGAACCATTTTTCCAAGTTTTTGACAATTCTAAAGTCATTTTCAAGGTCTGTAAGTTTCAGACAAGTCCTAACAACGGTAAATTTACACACAGGGGTAGTTATCTCAATGATTAGCGACAAGAATGGCGGAGGGTATGCTCTACTACTTGATGGATCCACATTTAAGGAAATTGCCAGAGCAAAATTCCCTTATGGCCTTCCATATGGACTCCATGGATGTTGGGTTCCAAAGGCTTAAACTTGATGAATATTTATAAGTTACTTTTTCGTAAGTGTTCAGATATAACATCTTTATGTCGATATAACATCAGTATGATATGATGTTTTTTGTGAATGCATTACATCTACCAGAACTACATTGTATGCGAAGTTCAGATCATCTTATTAATGAAGTTATTAGTTGTACGGATTAAGCCTACTCCCAAACCCAAGAGCAGTACTTACGATTCAGACAACAGAAACGCACACATAAACAAATAAATTTATAGTAGTTCATAATCAATGTGAGAGTTATGTCCACTCAATGCTGCAGATAAACCAGCATAATGAGAAAGGGATTATAATGTTCTCTTCCTCACACGTCTTTCTAATCTGACTAGGGCAGCTTAATACAAAACATGAACACCCGGTATGCCCTCATAATATGAAAAATTCAAGGTCGAGTTCATAAGTGAACATTACAATTAGGCTCTACATAATCCAAAGTCGGCATGTCATATCTCTCAGAGTTTGAAAAGGAGACAAAAAATAGACAAGCGTGTATGAATTTCATTATCAAGAAAGAAACTGTAGTTCATTTTTTTCAACAAGACAAAAGATGAGAGAGAGATACACATCTCCTAAAACAATGAGTAATATTTCTGTTCTTTGATGCAGTAATCATCAAATTAAAGTAGTAAATAAATTGCTTCTAGGATAAAGAATAGTAAGAGGACACCTGAAGTTGAATTAAGTTTTGATAAGACGCAATTCAGATTACTCCTGTCAAGTGTAAAGGCTTGGGTCAGAGAGCGAAGCCACAGATCTAAAGGCCCCAAAATCTCAGATTGAATGCTGAGTCGCTGAGAAGATAAAAACAAGCACTGATCTGACATTTCCAGTTGGGTAATATCACTTTTGATCTGTATATACAGCATCAACATCATCAAGCTCGAGCAATTTGGACATCAATTCCTTGTTCAAGTCCATGGCCTCATCATCAACCTGCAACCCACAAAATAAGCATTGATATCGTTGCACCAAACATGATATGAGGATATAATTCCTCAAAATGATAATGTTACATGGACTAATGAGCAATGATTATCCTCAGAATGAACATCCAGAATTTCATTGATTCCTATTATAACTTTATGACACTAATAGATTTGCTTTTAATTAGCTCAAAATTCAAAAGTAGATGGTATATGAGAAAGAACCAGGCAAAAGAAAATAAATGGAACAAAAACCCATCTTCTATATTGGCATACCTCAATCGGAGTAAGAGGAAGAAGCTCAAATCCATTGTCAGGTTCAAATGGTATTCCTTCCTCGCGTAGCTTTGTTAATATGGTGGGGTAGCTCTCTGATGAAGTTACTATTCTAAAATACCTACAGAAAAAATAAAGCAAAAAAAGGGGAAAAAATTGTACATGAGCATATCTTCAACAGGATAATCAATTAAGAAAGAAAATATCAAATATGTAACCTTTTCAATCAATTTATCAGACTTGCATGTGCAAGAATAATTACTTATCTAGCATTTTACAAGATCCAGCATATATTATACATATTTGGAGTGCAGTTCAAAGCTTATTACACTTATTTGGAGTGCAGCCAAAAGTTTGAACCTTATATTTGACGCATGTCCCTACCAGATTATGGACACACGACTCTTCTGAGCACAAATTATCTATGTCTGACATATGCTACCATAAGAAAGAGTATAAACATTTATTATCTTTCTAACTAAATATAATTTTATGGCAGATTCATGTAAAACGCAAACATAAAGGGATCAGGACAACTGAATACTTTAACAAGCCATTGATAAACATATATACAAATGAACAATATCTTGTACATTTCATTTATTTCGTCCTCGGGATCATCTTCGTCCGCTGAAGGTTCAATGACATCATCAGCGCCAGCATCCAAAGCAACAGCTAGAATCTGATCTCTATCAGCATCTTTAACCTTTACATTTACGACCCGAGCACGTTTAAATTTGAAACTGATGGATCCAGGATCTGCCATTTTCCCCCCACAATCCTTCACTACCTCTCTAACAGCTGCCACTGATCTGTTTATTTTATCCGTCAACACCTCGACTATTATGCCAACTCCACCATAGCCATAAACCTAATTATGCAAAAGAATACCAGCATAACTAGAGATTTGTGCAACATTGTCTCTAAGGTGAACTGTAATGAGTCTGATGACATTATCTTTTAAGGGAAAACTGCACTGGGGTCCCCAATTATTGCACAAGTTGCAAGTTGATCTTCAACCTTTAAAAAATTGAGCAAGTTGGTTATCTACCTTTCATTATTGTTGCACAATCAATCCCCGTCGATAGAAAACATTCAAATCTTTGTTATGGCTTCAAGCGTTCAACTTTACAAAGCTATATTTTGTTCACCAACTAGGGCCGGGTGCTGAGAAATTTGGAGTGAGACACACTTCCATAAGAAACACATGATAATTGGAGACTTGGATGCTTTATATGATCAGAGACTAATTATGCAACTATAAGGTTGATGACCAACTTGGTACTCGAGCAATAGGTCTCACTGATGCTGAAATTTTTCCTTATGTTAATAAGAACAGATATCGCAGATTATGTGGCCACTACCTCGTATACTTTCTCAATATAAGCTTCCTGTCCCTTCTCCGAAGCTCTCTTAATGTTGCGCTCTATGATTTCCTTAGGCACATCGAGCTCCTTAGCTTTCTCAAACAATGCAGCAAGAGCTGTATTCGATACTGGACTAGCACCACCTTTCTTGACCCTAGGACATTAAAATAGAAAGTTCAGGATCTTGTATCATTTTAAAAATTTTATGCTAACTCCACCTACAACAAAAGAAAAATTAATAAAAGAAGCAAATTCCTGACTGAAAGAAAGGTGTATGCTTAGAAAAAGGAAACCGGAGGTAGATGTCTACTGAAAAGCCTAAAGGTGTAAACAGCAAGCAAGGCCCATGTTATGGGTGCAAATGGCAAATGGACGCGACAACATAACCAATGTTCCGGCCAGCCATCATTGTAAACCACCACCAGTCTCAAACCCACTACTGTTCCGAAAAGTTTGTTACAAAACTCCTCCACCCCTTTTAAAAGAAAATCTGAAATTTAATTTATTTCTGAGGGCTCACCACATTTCTTTTGGTGCCTTAATGAATATAATTCTGTGTGTTTGTACAATGTTGGTTTGTGTATCTTCTGGATCCCCTAACAAACATAGCCTAGGAATTATAATTTCTGTCATATCACATTGTGAAAATTGTAGAAACTAACTTACGCAGATACGACTTCCTTCCCAATTTTTGAATACAGCTTCGTCTTCTTAGCATCTTGGGCAGTCTGCATGTTAAGATGCATTTATAAAAAATTAAACTCTACTCAAAAGAAACTCTTATTTTCAAACTGCCCTCAAAAAATTAAGAAAAAAGATTATCAAGAAATTATAACAATCAAATACTGACGCATCAAGTTTCTCAATTTTCTGTGGACAGACAGACAGACTTGTTCACTGTCACGAACTCAATTAAACAGATTGAAAATGGAGATACTAGAAAAAGGATTATATTATAGAATTTGAAATACAATTCCAAGATTTATCCAATAAGATGCCCATCAATTTGACGTCATCTTCATTTAAACAAGGCTAGATTTAAAGGAGACTACAACAGTCATTCAGCCAGATCAAAATTGTATAATCCCACCTTGTTAATTTCAAAAAATAAAATAGAAAACATGCATTGAAAATTGTGATACCAATCCTGGTATATCATTCACCGAAATGCACTACAAAAATCCTTAAAATATATGTCATCAAGATTGCATTTATAACAAACAGATCAACAAGTGCCAGAGCACTACCAACAGTTCTAACATCACAAAACAAAAACAATCGAAACATACATACTTCGATCCTCCTAAACTAATTATTCACCGTATATACTTTTTCTTTAAGTATATATTACCTACTTCCCCGCAGTTTGTCGCTCCTCTAACCTCATTTTTATTGAAATAAACTTGATAGCATAGTTTGCTCCAAAAAAGTATTAATAAGTTGCATTCGAAATCTGTACCATGTGGCTACCTTTCTTCCAGCAATTTTGCAGGAACGTCTACCCATACACAGAGGAGGGAAAGTCGCAATCTTTCTAATGGAATTGACAGAATGAAGCTCATAGACGGAGACCCATAAGCTAGAAGATGAGTAGCAAGAAGAAGATTGCAGCTTTCTACTTAAACAGCGTGTTCCTGAACAAAAATTTAAAACAAAATTCAATATGATCAATTCCCAAATCTTCAATAAAAATTGTAGCTTTCTACTGAACAAACGTGTTCGTGAATAAAAATTCAAAATAAAACTCTCTATAATCAAACCCAACTCTCCAATCTACCAGAAATCAAAATCTTACTCAAGAATACAATTGCGAGTATTTCGTGTGTACAGTCAAAATCCCAATTACAAATTTTCACATAAAAATCAAATCTTTTATGTATGTGCCTTTCATATATGTTTATATTCCAAGAGAGCGAGGGAAGATGGGTTACCGTGAATCGTGAAGGAGTTTGAGGGTTTAAGAGAGACACCATTCGAGAATCTGGAGAGTAATGAACCGAATGCTCTGATTGTCGAAGATGAAGGAGACACCATTTTCACTTATTTTTTGTTTTCTTGATATGGGTCTATCTCTTTAGTTCCTTTCTTTTTCCTTCAACAGATTCTAGGAAAAGTGATTTGTGCATAGAGTTGCTGCAGGTGTGCAGCTTATTTTCCTCTTCCTTTTCCTCCGATTTTCAGTTTCAAGGGTAATTTTGTTTTTATATCAAGAAAATGTACATAGAAGTAAATTAGTGTTTGGATTATTTGTCAAAATTATCATATAGTAGTAAATCAAAAATGTACATAGTCAAATTGATTGCCTTTATAAAAAAATTTAATTAATTTATTATGGTCAAAAAAGTTCACCAAGTCAAATAAAAATCAAAGCCCTGAACTAATTGATTATATTTTCAATTTTGAATGTTTTATTTCCCTTGTTTGATTGAGATCTTACACATAATTAACAGAGTAATATTATTTGGTCACAATTAAGTATTTGTCTTTGTGATACTGGAGCTATATAGCATTATTCTAGCAAATATGGATTAAAACTCTCGATTGGATCCAAAATTCAACTCTTAATTTGAGTTCTGAGCATTTAAAAATCTAAAATAAAAAATATTTCTCAATACATATTTAGAGTCTTAATACATATGTAGGTAACGAAACGATCAAGTAAAAAAATAATAATCAATCTTCAATTGAATTTTGCCGAACAATAATTTTTCTAAAAATAAAATAGTGTGTAGGGAAACATGAATGAGCATCATTAATTTTTGCCATTGAGAAGAGGTAATCCATATTTTACAAAATTGCTTGCTAATGTGAGGGATAGTGCAATTTGGAACCTTCCTATAATGGTTGTGTTTAAGGCATGTCACAGTTTATGAACATGGCCAGTACAATGTTTACTTGTCCAGTATAGACATCAAGAGACCGAAACATCATTATTAGTTTGAGAAAAGTGGGCATTTTGCGATAATTAAAAGTTATTTTTCTTGGATGATAACTTATATTGTAATTTTAAACACTTCATATCTATTTCCTCTTTTCTTGTGTCAAGAAGCTCGGCTAATGATTCNGGAGTGTAGGGTTGTGATGTAGCCTATTGAGGTCACAGTTCTCTAGCATCGGTTGAGTTTCAAATCAAATCATAAAACCCAACAACCAATATACATTTATTAATTTGTAAACTTCCGAGCAAGTGACGAATTTGATGTTTCTATGGGCAATTTTGCCCAAATAGTGCAAAAGCGAGCTATTATCTTCTTTCTCTGCTTCCTCCTCCTCCCCTCCATATAATCCTCAAATCTTAATTCTCTTATGCTGTTCATTTTACTACATTATCTTTGATCCATTTAAACCCTATGTAACAATGCTCAACCATCACCAACAAAAAGTTTGATGTATGTACACTTGGTGCATGTTGGGTACACAACACTTGATAGGACTTAATAGTATAATAAACAAGATTTTAGCTTCTTTTTCTTAGTACCATCGAGAACTATCCAACCATTTCTACCAATCATGCAGTCCGAGTTTATCTGTTGTGCTCATAAATTCTCGTTGTCTGCAATGCTTCATATGTACAATTGATAGCCTATGAATTTTCATGATTGTAAGCAGTGGTGAATCCAGGATTTTAATTGAGCACGGGCGGCCGTTAACTGTCGACAGTCGCAATAATAATCAATGCCGTGAGTTGAAATTACTTAGCCCCCATTTGGCCCCCATTATTTGGATTTATAATGGGGGAATAGTGTTTTTGTTTTTTTGTTTTTTTTTTGTTGTAAAAGAATGAAAATTCTTCTATTTACATGTAATAGTATTTTATTGAAGATTGCGTAGTTGAAAATAGAAAAGAGAAAATTTTAAATTAAATTGATAAGTTTTGAAGGGGGCCAAACTGGGGCTTATATCGCAGTTCGAATTATAACTGTGAGTGTACGTTATCTAATCCAATGTAATAATGCTTATCGAGTAAAAATTTGAAGTGTGAAAAATGGTCCAATTATTTACTTTCTTGGTTCGATTTGCCAATAATTTCAGTTTAATAGAAAAAAAAAAGTGAATATTTTAATAATACCACTGTAAGGTCGAAGTTTATTTTTCTAAAAATGGTGGGTGTATATCTTTACTTGATAAAAGAATATATAAATTTTGTTGCTTGTATTGTCAACAACCATCAACTGCCTTAGTGGTCAAATTGTTCATGATTCCAACGGAGATCATAGGTTCAAATCTTCCATTTGCACCAATTTTAATGCCTATTTGCTCCAAAATGGTGAAAAATTTTAAACTAAAATAATTTCAAAAGGGATTGCAAGAGTTGAGAATCGAACCCGAGACATCCTTACATTTCTATGGTGTTCTAACCAATTGAGCAACAGCGACTTTGTGTGAATCAAAGGAAATCACAGAAATATATCTAAAACAACTTGACAGCTAAAAAAATTAGGAAAAATGGCAGCCGAGGTACCAAATCTTTCGTTTATTAGCAAACTTTGCCCAAACCTTTAGTTTGTGCCATCGGAGGTAATAAACCTTCAAAAAATGCGCACCTGGAGTTCAAATTGACAGAAATTATTAGTTTGACCATCAAAATCGTTAGTTGACCCCAAAATTGACATTGACCAAAATTTTGACTGATTTTTAAAGGGTCAAATATGTAACTTTATATTTTTCATATAAAAAATTAAAATAATAGAAATATACTTCATCTTCTCCACTTCACCCTATAAACACCCACCCCAAAACCAAAAATCAGGAACCACTCACTTCCCTACCTGCCAGCCGACCGCCCAATGCTACCCCTTCAACGCCAGTCAACCGCCTAACGCCGTACACATTGTTGCTCCGCCTTACGCAGTCTTGTTAGTTTTGCCCATCACCTCAAACAATGGCTTGACAAACAGCGATGCCACCCCATCACTCCCTCCTCCACCCTTTAAGTATAGTGCAGACAGCGAACCAACTATATCGCAACAGGCCTCCCTAACCTGGGAATCTGAATCCTTCAGCCTCATTGCCAAATGGGACGATAAAGAAGATGAAGATGAAGCAGAAGACGATCTCGGAGGGCCCAACTGGTTGGAAGGATTTGAGGGTTTTGAAGATCTTTGGGAGCCCATTTTTAATGAAATTTTTGGTCAAAAGTCTCGAAACAAATTCGATGGGAGGTTTTTCTGCTTCTCCTCAAATCAGATCTAAAATTCATAAAAACGAAAATTCCAAATTCATAAAATTGGATTTGGCTTTAGGATTGGAGAAGAAGGGAAGTGTGGCGCAAATTCTTGTAATGACTGGAGGTTGAGACGGTGGTGCTGGCTGTGGCGATGGACGGTGATGGTGGTGGTTTTTGGGGCTCTGGGATTGGGGAAGAAGGAAAGGGTGGTGGGTGGTTTTATATTTTGATTTTTGTTTTTTTTTAATTTAATTATTAATAAATATTATAATTGTCTTTTTTGTTAAAAAATGTAAAGTTACAATATTAACCTTCAAAAATCAGTCAAAATTTTGGTCAATGTCAAGTTTGGGGTCAACTAACTATTTTGATGGTCAAACTAATGGTTTTTGTCAATTTGGACTCCGGGTGCGCATTTTTGGAAGGTTTGATATCTCCGATGGCACAAATTAAAGGTTTGGGCAAAGTCTGTTAATAAACGAAAGATTTGGTACCTCAGATGCAATTTTCCCAAAAAATTAGGTTCTGGCGAATCCAACGCAGGCGGTCGAGGGGTTCGCCAAGCGCTAGATCCGCCGGTGATTATAAGGTTAATTAGAAAACATAACTTTTTCACCCAACTATTTTTGTGTATGTAATATTTCAGTGGGTTATAATTATTGTATTTTAATTTTTAATCCTTTCTTATTGCCTTTTGGGAGATGGGTAGGGCTGGACAAAACTCCCGAACTGAACCCGACGGTTCTTCTCAAGTTAAATATCCGAACGGGTATTTGAATCAGGAACCGACGGGTATGGTTCGGTTCTCGGTTCTAGGTCAAGATCCGAAGAACCGAATAAGAACCGAATCTTCATCATTTTTTTAATTAATTTATTTTAAATAAATAAATTATTTTATTTTTTCTAAATAAATTTGTTAACTAGTTAATTTAGTTCAAACCACAAAATATGATTTTCCTATTTCTAATATTCAGTTCAAAATCGACTTAATCAAATTGACCTCAATTTTATCCAAATCTGTTATTCTACTGTAGTGTCGTTTCTACCGGAGAAAATCAAATTAAAACCCTACAACATCTCTCTTAATTATTTTGAGCTCGTTATCTTTCTCTTTCTGTGATTTTAATAATCAAATTTATGAAAAATTCAGCAAAGAGAGACGTGAAACACATAAAATTGAACTACGTTATTTTGTAAGAGCTAATATTAAACATATCATTACTTAAATAAACGTAACTTTGTATATATTAAAAAATTTAATTATAATACGGAACCAAATGGAACCGAACCGGATCGAACGGAATCGAACCCGAACGGTTCCGTAATTAAATTTGGAACCAACGGTTCCACTTACTAAATACCCGAAAATTTCTGAACCGAATCAAACCGGACTATGTCCAGCCCTAGAGATGGGGATGATATGGAGTTGGCTTATTATCTCCTTGTACAAATTTAGACAAGAACCTGAAATCTGGCTTTTGGGGAAATAGGAAAACATTTGAACGTTGTTACTTGCCTTCCTAGGTGCCATCTAGCATTTATTTTCGTATAGTTGAATTTTGTGCTTGTTTGGCTAATTTAAAATTTTAATTATATATAAATAGGTTAGTTTGAATAAATAATCATTGTTTTGTTAAAGTTAGAAATAAGTTACTTGTTTTGAGAGTAACTTTTCAGTTCTATCTCACCGTCAAAATAAGTAACTTTCTTTTCCTGCTTAGTAACAAAATTAACTCATCCGAAACATGCTTGGAAGCAAAAGTTTCTTTAAATAAGGCCCCGTTGTTTTTCATTTTTGTAAGAATGAGAATAAAAAATATAGTCATTACGGACCCCACACAAGAGATAGAAATTCAAATTTGGTGGTTTGATGTGATGAATAACGGTCATATTTTTCATTTTAATGGGAAAAGAATGGGAAACAAACGGGGCTAAATATAACTTAGAAAACAGACAAACATGCATGTTGTACATGTTTGACAATTTGTGAGCTCTATATATGTAAATAGGTTAGTTTGAATGG